TCAATCGCTCTAAAGAATTGGTAGTACACATAGGAATGAAGTGCGCGGACTTGGTCAGCCGATCCACAATCACCCAAATAGCATCAAACTTTCTCAAAGTCTGTGGAAGCCCAACAACAAAGTCCATAGTGATCCTCTACCACTTCCACTCTAGAATATCTATCCGCTGAAGCAAGCCACCTGGTCTTTGATGCTCATATTTTACCTGCTGACAATTGAGACACCGAGCTACAAATCCCACTATATCTTTCTTCATTCTTGTCCACCAGTAGTGCTGCCTAAAATCCTGATACATCTTCGCGGCACCTGGATGAATGGAATACCACGAGCTGTGGACCTCTTCCAGAATCAACTCCCGAAGCCCATCCTCAGTGGGCACACAGATCTGGCCCTGCATCCTCAACACCCCATCATCACCAATGGTCACATCTCTAGCATCATAATGCTGAACTCTGTCCCTAAGGACTAGCAAATGTGGATCATCATACTGGTGCTCTCTGATGCTATCATATAAGGAAGACCGAGAAACCACATAAGCCAATACCCGACTATGCTTCGAAATATCTAACCTCACGAACTGATTTGCCAAGGCCTGAACATCAACCGCAAGAGGTCTCTCCCCAGCCGGAATATATGCCAAACTCCCCATAATTACTGCCTTTTGGCTCAAGGCATCGTCCACCACATTGGCCTTTCCCGTATGGTACAGTATAGTGATATCATAATCCTTAAGCAACTCCAACCATCTACGTTGTCTCAAATTAAGATCCTTTTGTTTGAATAAATGCTGAAGACTGTGATGATCAGTGAACACCTCACAAGGTACGCTATACAAGTAATGCCTCCAAATTTTCAATGTGTGAACTATGGAAGCTAACTCCAAATCAAGAACGGGGTAGTTTTTCTCATGGGGCATCAACTGATGAGAAACATAAGCAATAACTCTACCCTCCTACATCAACACACAACCAATCCCAACTCTCGAAGAATAACAATACACGGTATATAAACCTGAAGTTGATGGTAAAACCAACACTGGAGTTGTGGTCAAGGCTATCTTAAGCTTCTAAAAGCACTCCTCACACTCGTCCGACCATACAAATGAAGCACCCTTCTGTGTCAACTTGGCCAAGGGCTATGCGATAGATGAGAATCCCTGAACAAACCAGCGATAATAGCCTGCCAAACTATACACTGCCTCTATCTTCTTTGGATCAACCTGAATACCCTCGGTGGACACCACGTGTCCCAAGAAGGCCACTGAACCGAGCCAAAACTCACAATTAGAGAATTTTACATAAAGCTTCTCCTCCCTCAATCTCTGCAACACAACTCTCAAATGCTCTGTGTGCTCCTCTTGACTACGCGAATATACCATAATATCATCAATAAAGACTATGACAAACGAGTCAAGATAAGGCCGGAACACACTGTTCATCAAATGCATGAACGTCGCTGGGGCATTAGTCAGCCCAAAAGACATCACCAAGAACTCATAATGACCATATCGGGTCCTGAAAGCTGTCTTAAGAATATCCGAATCCCTGATCTTCAACTGGTGATAACCTGAACGGAGATCAATCTTGCAGAACACCCTCGCTCCCTGAAGTTGGTCGAATAAATCATCAATGCGAGGCAAGGGATACTTGTTCTTAATTTTTACTTTGTTCAATTGCCTATAATCAATGCACATCCTCATTGTGCTATCCTTCTTCTTCACAAATAGAACTGGTGCACCCCAAGGTGACACACTAGGCCGAATGAACCCTTTATCAAGGAGTTCCTGAAGTTGTTCTTTTAATTCCTTCAATTCCGCTGGTGCCATACGATACGACGGAATAGAAATGGGCTGAGTGCCCGGCACCAGGTCAATACCAAAATCTATATCCATGTCCGATGGCATGCCCGACAGGTCTAAAGGAAACACATCGGAAAAATCCCTTACAACTAGGATAGAATCTATACTGGGGTCTCAGCTCCGACATCCCTCATAAAGGCTAGATACGAAAGACAACCCTTCCAAACCATACGCTGGTCTTTCAAGAATGAGATCAATCTACTGGGAACATAATCAGTCACAACTCGCCACTCAATCCGTGGCACACCTGGTATAGCCAATGTAACTGTCTTAGCATGACAGTCTAGAATAGCACGACACGGAGATAACCAATCCATGCCCAAAATGACATCAAACTCCACCATGCTCAATAGTAATAGATCCACGCGGTCTCCAGACCCCCAATAGTCACCAAACATGACCGGTACACACGGTCTACAACAACAGTATCACCCACTGGGTAGATACATGAATAGGTGAAGCAAGAAACTCACGGGGCATACCCAAATAACAAGAAAAGTATGATGACACATAAGAAATGGTGGAACCAGGATCAAATAATACACATGCATCTTTGTGAGAGACTAAAACAATACCTGTAATAACAACATCTGAAGCAATATCATTGGGTCTACCTGGAAGTGCATAGAAACGGGTACCTGACTAACCTCCACACCTAGCTGGTTGAGAGGGTAGTGGTGAAGCAACTGGCGCAGAAGCCGATGACTGACCCCTCTGATGCGACGAACTAGCAACACGATGAGGGCACTGCCTCTACATCTGGCCGATCTCACCATACTCATAACAACTCCCAGGTGCTGGAGAAGGGGACTAAAGGGAACTCCTCGCACCCGAGTGACTAATAGATGCACTCGGCATAGAAAAGCCCTGGACTGATGGAGCACGGATCAAACTCTGAGCTGGAAGGGCACTAAGTGAAGACTGGCCCTGTTGGGAACTATGATAACCATGACCCAAAGATGCCCCACGATAACCTAGGCGAGCTGGCTAAGTAGACCTGAATGAACGGCCTCTGCCGTGCAGAAATTGACCCCTCGAAGGAGCACCACTATAACAGCCAGATCCTCGAGGCCATTTGGCCTCCCTCTCCTCTCGCTCCTGGCGACAAACAGACTCAATCTCACTCGTGATATCCACAACCTCCTCGAAAGTAGCACTAGTCACCCTCTCCCTGGTCAAGAGAATATGAAGCTAATAAATAAGACCATCCACAAACCTCATAATCCTTGCTCTATCTGTCGAGACCAACTAAATGGCATGAGGATCTAACTCGAGAACCTCAACTCATACTGCGACACGCTCATCTCTCCCTGGCGTAACCACTCAAACTGCCTACGCAGCTCCTCTCTGCGAGATTGCAGCACATACATCTCCAGAAAGAGAATGGAGAACTGCTACCAGGTAAGGGGTGCTGCACCAACAGGCCTACGCCTCTCAAAATCCTCCACCAAGTGAAATTAGCTAATGAAAACTGATAGGTGGTAAAGCGACCCCGCTGGTCTCCAGAATACATGCAGTACGAAGCATCCTCTGACACTTGTCCAAAAAGCCCTGGGCATCCTCACCCTCTGTGCCACAGAAGGTTGGTGGCTGCAATCTTCCAAACCTCTCCAACCTACGCTGCTCATCCTCCGGCATGACAGAAACCACATAGTCCTAAGTAGCTGCAATCGGCTAGGCTAGACACGCCCCCGATGTATACGAGCGGTGGGAGTCTGATTGCCTCCCCCACCATGAGAAGTAGCTGCGGCTATAGTGGATGAAACTGCCTGACCTGGGCCAGTGCAAACTAATAAGATCTGAGCCAAGGCCTACTGATGACTTGGAATCACGATGGGCACAGGTGGTACCTGAGCTGGTGCTGTAGGAGCGTCCATAACTGGGACCTGATCCTAAACTGGGGCAGCTGGTGCATCTGCAGGTGCTGCTCTAGCTGCTCTGCCCCTACCATGACCACGACCGCGTCCTCGGCCTCTGGTGGCCACAACTAGTGGTACTGGGGGCTGTCCACCCTAACCAGTAGCGCGTGTCCTCACCATCTGTGAGAGAATAGAATAACAGAAGTTTAGTACTCGGATCAACAAGTTCACACGACAAGAATTTCAAGAATATGAAGTTATTTCTAAAGGTTCTACAACCTCCCGAGGATAAATACAAACGTCTTTCTACCCATCCGTGAGACTTTACTAAACCTGCTCATGACTCATGAGACCTATGTAACCTAGGCTCTGATACTAACTTGTCACGACCCTAACCCGAATCTGGTCGTGATGGCGCCTCTCGTGAAGACAAGGCCAGCCGACACTTTACATTTTCCAATTATTAACAGTTAAGCATTTAAGAAACGGTCTAAACATGAAAAAATAAGTCTTAAAATAACAACGATAACATAAATACGCGAAAGATCACCCATACACAGCCCTAACCGGGGTGTCACTAGTCATGGGCAACTACAAGTCATAATACAATCCCGCTAGAACCATGAATTAGTACAAAAGTCTGAAAAGGAGCATAAGAAATAAAGGAGTAGAGAAACGGGGTTGCGGACCTCAACATATACCTTGTAATCTCCAAAAGCCTGCCTGAAGCTGGAGGAAGCAACACTCGGGAGCGGAACCAGCTACACTTTAATCTGCACACATGGTGTAGGGATTAAATTGAGTACTCCAACTCAGTGAGTAACAAATGTAAATAACGAGTGAAAGTAAGAAAACACGTAAGGAACAAGGCATTCTATAATGAAGTAGTAAAACCATTTAAAAGCAAAAAACAGTGAAAAGTCAAGTAAAATCCTCTTTCTGATGGAGCTCGGGTCGAACTTTGAGCTGGAAGGGCACTAAGTGAAGACTGGCCCTGTTGGGAACTGTGGTAACCATGACCCAAAGATGCCCCACGATAACATGGGCGAGCTGGCTAAGTAGACCTGAATGAACGGCCTCTGCCGTGCTGAAATTGACCCCTCAAAGGAGCACCACTATAACTGCCAGATCCTCGAGGCCTTTTGGCCTCCCTCTCCTCTCGCTCCTGGCGACAAATAGACTCAATCTCACTGGTGATATCCACAACCTCCTCGAAAGTAGTGACAGTCACCCTCTCCCTGGTCATGAGAATACAGAGCTAATAAGTAAGATCATCCACAAACCTCCTAATCCTTGCTCTATCTGTCGAGACCAACCATATGGAATGAGGATCTAACTCGGAGAAGCTTAACTCATACTGCGACATGATCATCTCCCTCTGGCGCAACCACTCAAACTGCCTACGCAGCTCCTCTCTGCGAGATTGTAGGACATACATCTCCAGAAAGAGAATGGAGAACTGCTGCCAGGTAAGGGGTGCTGCACTAACAGGCCTACGCCTCTCAAAATCCTCCACCAAGTGAAAGCAGCTAATGAAAACTGATAGGTGGTAAAAGCGACCCCGCTGGTCTCCAGAATACATGCAGTACGAAGCATCCTCTGACACTTGTCCAAAAAGCCCTGGGCATCCTCACCCTCTGCGCTACAGAAGGTCGGAGGCTGCAATCTTCCAAACCTCTCCAACCTACGTTGCTCATCCTCCGGCATGACAAAAACCATATAGTCCTAAGTAGCTGCAACCGGCTGGGCTGGACACGCCCCCGACGTCTGAAGTCCCTGCACGACCTGCTCAGGTATAAGAGCGGTGGGAGTCTGATTACCTCCCCCAACATGAGAAGTAGCTGCGACTATAGTGGATGAAACTGCCTGAGCAAGGCCTCCTGAAGACCTGGAATCACGATGGGCACAGGTGGTACCTGAGCTGGTGTTGTAGGAGCATCCATAACTGGGACCTGATCCTAAACTGGGCAGCTGGTGCATCTGCAGGTGCTGCTCTAGCTGCTCTACCCCTACCATGACCACGACCGTGTTCTTGGCCTCTGGTGGCCACAGCTGGTGGTACTGGGGGTTGTCCACCCTAACCAGTAGCGCGTGTCCTCACCATCTGTGAGAGAATAGAATAACAGAAGTTTAGTACTCCGATCAACAAGTTCGCACGACAAGAATTTCAAGAATATGAAGTTTTTCCTAAAGATTCTGCAACCTCTCGAGGATAAATACAAACGTCTTTGTACCCATCCGTGAGACTCTACTAAACTTGCTCATGACTAGTGAAACCTATGTAACCTATGCTCTGATACCAACTTGTCACGACCCTAACCCGAATCTGGTCATGATGGCGCCTCTCGTGAAGACAAGGCCAGCCGACCTTTCCATTTTCTAATTATTAACAGTTAAGCATTTAAGAAATGGTCTAAACATGAAAAAATAAATCTTAAAATAACAACGATAACATAAATACGCGGAAGATCACTCATACACAGCCCTAATCGGGGTGTCACTAGTCATGGGCAACTACAAGTCATAATACAATACCGCTAGAACCATGAATTAGTACAAAAGTCTGAAAAGGAGCATAAGTAATAAAGGAGTAGAGAAACGGGGTTGCGGACGTCAACATATACCTCGTAATCTTCGAAAGCCCGCCTGAAGCTGGAGGAAGCAACACTCGGGAGCGGAACTAGCTACGCTTTAATCTGCACACATGGTGCAAGGAGTAAAGTGAGTACTCCAACTTAGTGAGTAACAAATGTAAATAACGAGTGAAAGTAAGAAAACACGTAAGGAACAAGGCATTCTATAATGAAGTAGTAAAACCATTTAAAAGCAAAAAATAGTGAAAAGTCAAGTAAAATCCTATTTCAACAAGTAAGCAAGTAATTAAGGTAAAGTAAACAAATAGAAGTTCGCCCCTCGGGCACAGTATCACCACATCCACCCCTCGGAAAACATATCATAACAATAACAGCCCCTCGGGATCAATCTCACAACACAATGGTTACCCGCACTTATTGGGGGTGTGCAGACTCCTGGAGAGGCCCCTTACGACCCAAGCACAATAACAAGCCATCTCGTGGCATCAAAACTAGGCCCTCCTCCTCATATCAATCAAGCCACCTCGTGGCATACATATCTCAGGCTCTCGGCCTCAAATCAGTATCAGTGTTTCCTCACAACATAGGCCCTCGGTCTTACTCAGTCAAAAATCATCACAAGCCTCTCAGGCAATAGTAAAATAGTGTTTCTCAGCCAAACATCATTTAAAAGATCATGTAAGTGTTAAAACTGAGTAAACATGGCTGAGTAGTAAAAACAGTGGAAATTAACATAACTGAGTTCATGTAATAAGTCAAAACAGTGAGGAAATAGTAATAAAAATCCCCGAAGGGTTCAAATAGTTGGCACGAAGCCCAAATATGACATTCAACCCAAATAATGATGATACCAAATAGATTTCAGTCAAATATACGGTAAAATCACAATCAGGACGAACCAAGTCACAATCCCCAATTGTGCACGACCCCACGCTCATCATCCAGCTGTGCCTCACCTCAATATAGCACTACGATGTGCAAATCCGGGGTTTCAAACCCTCAGAACATCATTTACGATCATTACCCACCTCGAACCGGCTAAATCTCTAGCTTGCGATGCCTTTGCCCCTCAAATCGGCCTCCACGCGTGTTGAATCTATCAAAAATCAGAACGAAGACATCAAAATATGCTAAGGGAATGAAGCCCAAGCGAAAACAATCAATAAAGGGCACAAATCCCGAAAATACCAAAACCTGACCCCGGGCCCACGTCTCGAAATTCGATAATTTTTACATCAATAGATTACTTATCTTCCCATGAGTTCATACATATCAAAAGTTCTCAAATCCGACCCCAAATGTTCCTTCAAATCCACAATTAAAGGCCTAAGTTCTCAAGCCCTAGTTTCCCCAAATTTCACATATTAATTTCCATATTTCTAGCTCTAATCCGTGAAATAATAACATAGGAACAAGTTTTAGGTCCAAATTCCTTACCTTAATGAAGTTCTCTTGAAATCCTCTTTCAATTCACCCAAAAAGCTCCCAAGCCGAAGTAAAAAATGGTGAAATAACTCAAATTCGCGAAGAAGACAATTTATATGTTCTGCCTAGATCTTTCAACATCTGCGGCCAAATTACCGCTCCGCGGTACCGCATATACGGCAAAATAATCGCTTCTGTGGTTCCTCACTTAAACTCCTATTTTCACATCTGTGATTCATTATCCGCATCTGCAGTTTAGCAGATGACGTGCTTTTAGCCGCTTCTGCGGTTCCAGCTCTTCAGACCCTTTTCTGCTTCTTCGACCTATCTCCCCCACGTGCGGCATCGCACCTGCGGTCCCCAATCCGCAGGTGCGGAAATACTAGAAGCAGCATAGTTCAGCAGCTGCAACAAGGTTCCAAACTCCCCGTCAAACATCCGAAACCAACCCGAGGCCTCCGTGACCTCGACCAAAAGCACAAATATATACCAATACCTTATTCAAACTAGCTCCAATCATCAAAACACCTCAAACAATATTAAATTACCCAAAACACTTCGGATTCAAGCCAAACATTCTAAAATCTTCCAAATTATGCTTTTGATAAAAAACCCAACCAAACCTTGTCCGAATGACCTGAAATTTCGCACACACATCCCAAATGACACAACAGAACTACTGCAACTCTTGGAATTCCATTCAGACCCCTATATCAAAATCTCGCCTACCAACCAGAAATTGCCAAAATATCAAGTTTGCCAATTCAAGCCTAAATCTTCTCCGGACGTCCAGAATTTATTCCGATCATGTTCTTAAGCCACAAATCACCTCTAGAAGCTAACTGAACCCTCGAAATTCACATCCGAGCACTCTAACACATAAGTCAATATCTGGTTGACTTTTTCAACTTAAACTCACTCTAAAGATACTAACTGTCTCAAACCTTACCAAATCCTTTCCGAACTCGATCCGACCAACCAGATACCACATAAAATAGATAAATAAAGCATAACAAAATAGAAATAGGGAAAACAGAGTGGTAACTCATGAGACGATTGTCCGAGTCGTCACAATATCACATATCATACTAGTACCCGCGCTCACTGGGGGTGTACAGACTCCGGGAGGGGCCCCTTATGGCCCAAGCACAATATCAAGCCATCTCGTGGCACAATCAATAGGCTCTCGGCCTCATATCAAGACACCTTGTGGCGTACAGCTTAGGCCCCCGGCCTCATAATCATGAATCAACTCAATATTGTTGCGGTGCGCAGCCAATCCCATAGTAACTTCACAACACAGGCCCTCGGTCCTACTTAGTCAAAAATCTCGAAAAGCCACTCGGACATAGTAAAATATGATGCTCAGCTCAAAATATCATTTAAGATGTCAAAGAAGTGTAAACATGGCTGAGTTATAAAAATAGTAGAATATAACATTAATGAGTGCAAGTATAAAGTCAAAACAGTGAGGAATAGTAGTAATAATCCCCTAAGGGTCTAAATAAGTTGGCATGAGGCCCAAATATGGCATTCAGCCCAAACAGGATAATAGCAAACAATTTGCAATCAAATACGCGGTAAAACAGTCATTCGGGATGGACTAAGTAACAATCCTCAACGGTGCATGACCCCACACTCGTCATCTAGCGTGTGTGCCACCTCAACATAGCACAATGATGTTAAATCCGGGGTTTCATACCCTCAGGAAAACATTTACAATCATTACTCACCTCAATCCGTTCCAATCTCTAGCCCGCAATGCCTTTGCCCCTCGAATCGACCTCAACTCGCATTGAATCTTTCCAAAATGAGAATCACGACATCAAAATATGCTAAGGTAACGAAGCCCATGCAAAAATAATCAAATTACAACATAAATCCCGAAATTATCGAAACGCCGACCCCCAGGACCAAATCCAAAATCCGATAAAATTTACATCAATACGATCCTTATCCTCCCACGAGTTTATTCATATCAAAAGTACCAAAATCCAACCACAAATGGCCCCTCAAATCCCCAAGCTGAGGTCTCCAATACCAAGCCGTAATCCCTAATTTTTAACCCTTAATTTCCATTTATCCTGGGCCAAATCAGTGAAATAATGTCATAGGATCGATTATTAGGTTCAAAGATCTTACCTCCAAGTGTTATCCCTTGAATCCCTCTTCAAAATAGCTTCCCCAAGTTGAAACCTGAATAAAAATGTTGAAGAACAACTCAAAAATCGCAAAAGAAGCCTTTTATACTTTCTGGCCCAGTGATTCCGCACCTCCGGTCCAAGACGCCACATCTGCGGTCCTCACTTGTGCCACCGCAGGTGCGCCTACCAAGCCTCTTCTATGGCTCCAGCTCTCCATGGCCCTTTCTGCTTCTGCGAATCATTTCCGCATATATGGGGGTCGCACCTGTGGCCTC